AAGTGAGGATGACAAGACTTCATCTCACGTACTTTGAACATGTTATCAGGAGGGACCATTCCCTAGAGAAGGACATCATGCTTGGTAAAGTAGAGGGTTAATTAAAAAGAGGAAGACTCTAAGTGAGATGGACTGACACAGTGGCTGCAACAATAGGCTCAAACATAGCAAAGATTATGAGGATGGTGCAGGACCGGGCAGTGTTTTGTCCTATTGTCCACAGGATCGCTATGAGTCAGAACTAACTTGATGGCACCTAACAACAACAATAACACCAAACTAAATAAAGAAACTACTAAAAACAAAGTGCAATCAATGATCAGGAAAGTATTTTTAATCTTTACAATCTGAACACAAAGAGTTGTGATCGTTAATGTTATGTGTCAACGAGGCTAGGCAATGATTCTCAGTATTATGTAATTATCCTCCATTTTGTGATCTGATGTAATCACGCTCTATTTTGTGATCTTACATAAGTAATACAATGTAATCACCTCCATGATGTGATCTGATGAGATCAGCCAATCAGTAGTACAGGGAGTTTCCTCAGGGGTGTGACCTGTACCCAGTATATATATGGACATTCTGGCAAAACTAGCTTGCTTGCTCTGGATCCTGTTTCCAGCTCATCATCATCTGACCTCTGGTTCTTGGGATTTGAGCCATCAGCTTGTCATTGAACCTGCTGACTTTGGGATTTGCCAGCTCTGCAGCCCTGTGAGCCAGCAGCCTGCCATCTGACCTGCCAGTTCTCGGTTCATCAGCCCCTGCAACCATGTGAGTTAGGAGAAGTCTCCAGCCTACACCTGACCCATGTACTTTGGATATTGCCAGCCTCCACAACCACGTGAGCCATTTCCTTGAGATAAATCTCTCTCCCTATTTATATATATATGTGTACGTATATAAATAGGGATATATGTATATATATATATATACATATACATAAATGCTTCACTAGTTTTGCTTTTCTAGAGAACTCAACCTAAGACAAGAATCATCATAATAAGACTTGTTTCTTCTCACTATTAATTGAAAACTAATTTTGGAGAAGTTTAGGCTTTCATTTCTTAGAGGGGAGGCTTCTATGACACAGGTTTTTGCACTTTCATTACATTATCTATATTCTATTAAGGCCAAAGTCTCAAATGTGTTATTTAGACTTTATGTTTATTTTATATCTCTCTTACAAAAATGTTCTCCAGAAAACCTATGTTTATAACTTAACTGATGGAAATGATGAAAGAATAAAAAAAAAAAAATTACTCAAAGACAAAACCCAGTATAAGGACATTGAAACTCAGGCAATATGTCTATGCAAAAACTATCAAAGGCAGTTACCCATGTATAATTCTACTGATTACTTTTTAATCCAAGATGTATTTTTAACAATGATAAATAGAAGGAATTTTATCTAAGATAGCGGAATGAGCTAAAAAAAGAAAAAAAGCTTACTTGTATGAGTAACATGCCATTTGTAACAAGA